CACACACACACACACACACACACACACACACACACACACACACACACACACACACACACACACACACACACACACACACACACACACACACACACACACACACACACACACACACACACACACACACACACGCGCGCGCACACACACACAACACACACACCACACACACACACACACACACACCTCGCACGCTTTGTGGCCCCGTAGGGAGGTCCACCTGAGGCCCCAGTGCTAGGGCCCGCATGTGGGCGCCATCGTGGCCCCATAGGGAGCTCCACCTAAGACGATACGCACAACCGTGACTCACAGCTGCATATGGCTGGGTCCTTCGCCATGGTAATTTAGTCCTCTGGCGCGTAAGAATCGCCTCGGGGCCCCCTCCCCCCGGGTACATGTAACAGTTGTTTGTGGGGAGGGGCCTGGGCCCCGCCCCCGCATGCCGATGCTCGTGCGCAGACTACGGCGATCGCAGCGCACTCCCTCTCCGACGTGCACCACCCCGCCCAAGCGTTACTGTTGCCTGGCCCCCCCCCCCCCTTCGGGGTAACGACCGTTACAAGAAAGAATACAAGAAGCATTCCAGCAAAGCACCTCATGATAGTACGGAGAGCCAGCCGTGCCACGTGTTCTTTACAATGGATCGTGACCGTCTGGACCAAAAGTGCAGCCATCATTGAGGCGAATGGTGAGGAAGTCTCGGGCGAAACATCCGCCAGACCGCCTCCAGTCTGGGCGGTCTTGCGCTCCTTGTCCCACCTGTTGAAATCCTCTGCGTTCTTTCCAAAATTGTGAGGACCCCCTGGCGAGACGCGATTCGAGACAAAAAGCAACCCTATAGGCATTCGAGGACACCCGTGGCCCCTCCGGCTCGAGGGCACAGAGCCCGGCTCGGACGCGGAGCAGAGCTCGTCGCCGCAGACATCCCGCGGCTCCCCCTCCCAGCCTGCAGCAGACCGCTGGCACGAGGGTTGAGAGCAGCCTTGACTGTGGAGGGGTAGCCTCGTGCTCTCCACGTTTGGGCTTTCCACCCTGAGGCGTTCTTCGTTGTGGGTATCTCCGTCGGCCCTTGGGTCAAGGGCCTTCGGCGAAGGGGCTCACGTTCTCGACCCACGTTCTTGTGGCCAAGTTTCGACTGCATCCCTGTCTCCTATGCTTGGCATCACCTCATCTCGGGGCCGATCTTAAGGATTCTCTCGGTTTATGAGGGCGCATCCCTAGGATTTGGCGGTCGACGTTCGATCCATACCCCTGCTGCTGCCCCCCGCTCTGAGCGCCTGGGGGAGCAGAGCATGGATAAAAAGCTTGGCTCCACAGGCTCGAATTCTCTCCGTGCCGCCACTCTGGCCCCCTCCGCGGACCTCGGCGTCGGCAGGCCCATCGCCCCAAGGCTGTCGTCGCCCTTGGGCTTGTCAATCTTGGGGGCGGGGATGCGCTCGAGGCTGCTTATCCCAGGTGTTCGACCATCGACCCCTTGTGAACCGAAGCCAAGACCCGCCGAAGGCCCGCCGAAGACCCGCCGAAGACGGCCCAGGAGCGAGGGGCAACAAGGGGCCCCATGGTCGAACACGTCACTCATCCTCTCCCCCCCACTCCCGCCCGCCTTCCTGCCCATGCTCGCGGTCGGGAGCAGGCACCGGCCCGTTAGTCTCGCCTCGGAGAGCGACGCGGACGCCGGGCCGGAGCACGCCCCTCGGGGCACCTGTCCTGCTGCGCCCTGGGCGCGGGCCGCCGCGGCGGCGCTGGCCTGGGCCGCGGCGGCGCTGGCGCTCCGGGCGGCGGCGGGGCGGAGGGGAGCCTCTGCGCGGGCCGCGGCCGGCGCCTGGCGCGAGGCCATCGTCGAGGCCTCCGACCGCCGGCGTGCGTGCGTCCTCGACGGGGGCCTGCGCGTGAGGCGCTGGGGCGCGGGCGCGGCCGTGCCGGCGGGGGACGCCGGCAGCGGTGCCACGTTCGTTTTCGAGGGGGCGCTCTGGCTGGTCCGCAGCGGCACCGTGCAGATACAGGCCAGCACCGCCGGCCGGGACGCGGGGCAGGAGGACTTCGCGAACACCCTCAAGGAGATCGCCATCGGTGGCTCCTTCTTAGAGAACAACACCCTGCACATATCCGCGACAGGCGTGACATGGCATTCAGCCGACGGACAGAGGGAGTCCATCCTCACTGACATGGACTCTGAATGGTCGAACGAGCTCGTCAAGGCCACAAGAGATTTCTCGGGGGAAGCGCTCCAGCCCGATCCCGCGGTCGCCGAGAGGACCGTGGTGCACCTGAAGCTGCCAAATTCGGTGCAGCTGCAGATCGAGCAATGGCCTGATCCCGCTGGCCACTATGTGAATATCAAGGTTACGAAGCCAGTAGAGAACGGCGAGGTGGGCTTATGCGTGGACAGTGCAGCGCCAGCGGTAGGGGTATCCACATCGGAAAGCCTCTTCCGTGCTGGCATCTACACTCGGAGCTGCTCAAGTGTAGAATCTGAGGTTCCTTGGCCGTACGGGGGTTGTGAAGGCTTGCCAACTGAAGCGAACATGTATAGTTCCAGCGCGATCGACAATTCATTCACCTGTGGATCGTGCGGACAAAATCAATTTGTAGATTTCCTGGGGAAGCTCGCCACGGATTTGAAGGACTTGAAAGAGGAGGAGTGCTCTCAAGGAGTGATCTACGGAGTAGCATTTGGTTCGAAATATGAAGACATGTTAGATGTCCCGAGCGAGTATGCTACTCGGTGGCTACTCCATCTTCACCAGCGGTGTTTCTTTTATTTCGTTACGGCTGACAATGAGTCTGAAAACATATCTTTGAACCGCACTTCCAAGTCTGGTCTGAACATTTTGATCCCTGTGCCGACGAGCGCATTGCCATACAAGAGCATGCGCAGGAATACAAAATTATTCAAGATGTATGGGGGTTTTATCGTCTTTGCATTTGCGAAGCGCCTTGTTTGGCAGGACGCGAAACTATTCCCAATGGAAGTAAATAATAGCTGGATAGGTATGATGGACTATCAGAAGATGTTCACGGAGAATGTCGAGCAGCATGGCACGTGTGCCTCATTCAGGGCCTTGCCGAATCATCGCGTATCCATGGGAGAAGTACGCTCAGATGGTCCTCGGTTCGAGTACCACTGTGCTTGCTTGGAGTCTGCGGATCGGCCAGATGTGACAGACGATTCCAATACACTCAGGAAGCAGTGCGATCATTATCAGCAGCTTGATACAGAAAACGGACGTATTTCCTTAGACAGCGGCCTGATTGACAGCGCAGTTATTCTTTGGGATATGAGAAGTAATCGGTGCCGTGATTTCAATAGCCAGCTATCGTGTACTTGGCTAGGCGAAATCCAATGTTTTGGAGATCGTGATCAGGTGAGCTTCCCAGAAGCTCTACGCGCAGTGGGGGTCTATGAACCAAGTCCGGTCAGCCCCTTGGATTCGGATCGAAAGGACAAGCTCTTCGTTAGATCAGATGATCCGGAAATTCCGCTGGTGCACATTGGGAGAACCAGCTGTCATTGGTACAACTCGAATTTCAGCAACAACATGTACACCTGCACCAGTAACCCTGATGCCGTGGCAAAGGCCATCGTGGCCAAGGTCACCGCAGCAAATACATCGAGCAAAGCCCCGACGAGCAAAGCCCCGACGGGCTTTGAATCAACGCTGTTGGGCAAACGCTAGCCGCATTGGTAGGCCTGGGGGCGTCAATCGCATAGCTAGTGGCGCCAGACATCCGATGCCGTTCATTTTTCATACCACGAGCCCCATGGCACCCGAACCCCTTCCCTGGGACAGTTGTCGCCCCAGATCGTTCCTTGATGGCCCTGGGCTTTGATGGCCCTGGCCCAGCACAGCCCTTGGGTGGTCTGGGCGACTCTCCGATCGGCGCTGGTCCCCCCTCCCCTCCGCCAGGGGGTGCCCGGCGCCGGCGCAGAAAGTCCGCTGCGGACGTCCGGACGCTCGTTCGTGGCCATGCCGCGTTTTGTTCGCCCGGATACGGAGGAAGCCCACAAGACTTCTCCGGGCGAAGTGCCCAACCACATGCAGTTGTGAATAACGCATTTGTGAGTATCGCCTTCGTTGGAGCTCCTTACGGGGCCACGAACCGCGTGAGGGGTGTGCCGAAATGGCCCGAAGCCGCCATGCCATTGAGGCCTTCGGTGGAGCTCCCTATGGAGCCGCGAAGGCAAGGCAAGGCGCGCCTGAGTCCGCCGGGGAGGCGGGGCCTGGAAGGCCGGCGCGGGCGGGCCGGGGCCCTCAGTTGCAGATGTGGAATTTGTGGTCAGTGCTGTGTGTGTGTGTGGCGTAGGAACGCTTGTTCCAAATTGCTCCATGGAGTGCTGTCCTGTGCTAGTGTAAAACATCGCTCGCTTCAAACATGTTTGCTGTCAGACCCCCGTGTCTGCGGACTGCTTGCCGGAGGTCGTGGATGTCCGGCTCTCACGTCGCAGCAAGTCGGGCCCATCGGAGTCGGAACCTGCAGAATACCTTCAACCATTCCGCCAACATAAATAGTCAAGATCGTGAGATGGAATCGAAAAGGCGGGAGCTGGAATCGGATTCGGGGTCGGGGAGGCGGGATGGGAGATGGAGTCGGAGAACTGGAGTCGGAGCCGGAGTCGGAGAGATAGGATTTGCACTTGGAACCGGAGTCGGAGAGACGGGACGGCCGCTGGAGTCGGAAAGCTGGGAGCTGGAATCGGCGCTGGAATCGGAAAGGTGGGCGCCGAAACAGTGTCGGAGAGATGGGGCGAGAGTTGGAGACGAAACCAGTGTCGGAGATAGGAGAGCCCCTGGGTTCAAATCAGATGGTTTTATTGGAGCCTCTCTGGGGAAGGGACAGGTAACTATTCTTCCATGTAGCTGAGGGATCTTCCGGAATGGCCCGAAGCCTATGGATCCTTCGATGGAGTTCCATATGGGGCCGCGAAGCGTGTGAGGGGTGCGCCGCACTTGCCCGAAGCCGCTATGCGGACTCTGCCTTTGGGGCCTTCGGTGGAGCTCCAAATGGGGCCACGAAGCGTGTGAGGGGTGTGTACCGAAATGACCCGATGCCGCCATGCGGACCCTGCCACTAGGGCCTTCGTTTGAATTCTCTTTGGGGCCACGAACTGTGTGAGGGGTGCGCCGAAGTTTGGCGGGGCCGTCATCCTGAAGATGATGACAATGACGATGACGCGGATGATGGCGATGGTGATGATGATGACAATCATTCAGGTCATGATGGTGATGACGATATTTATGATGCTGATGATGATGATGCTGATGATGATGATGATGATGATGATGATGATGATGATGATGATGATGATGATGATGGTGTTGATGATGTTGAAGATGACGATGATAACGATAGTGGTGTTGATGATGATTACGATTCTATAGGCTTACGCCACATCCGCCGACCCCTCTGTAAACTATTGCGCCTCCAGGAGTGCATTTCACGAGGCTTGTCCGAATCATGACACGGCGCTCGACATCGTTCCTGTTGCTTCGTTGTTGTTATCGTATCTCTTGGTGCTCTTTTGTAGCCTTTTGGTGGCATCTTGGCCTGTCTGCAGGCCATATCTGGCCGCCTCGAGGCATCTGTGGCCAAGTTTTGGGGCCTCTTGGAGGCTTCCTGGGGGCTTCTTGGAGGCCTTTGAGGTTCTCTTGGGGGTCCCTCAGGGCCTCTTGGGCTGTTCTTGGGGCATGCTGGGGCCTCCTTGGGGCCGAAGGCTCGAAAAGGTACCCTCTGGACTCCGTCTTGGAGCCGTCTGGGGGCCCTCTTGGGCTGTCTTGGGGGCTTCGTGGGCTGTCGTTGGACCCTCTTCGACCCTTCTTGGGGGCCCCTTCGGCCGTCTGGGGGCGATGTTAAAGGTTTCTTTGCCCGTCTGGGACGTTGTGAAAACCGAATAGGCGAACATGCGAAAAATGCTTCTTTGTTTTAGTTCGAAAAGGGAATGGGACGATTTCTGTTTCTTGGGCCTTGGGGGCCTTTTGGGGCGTCTTGGCAGCTTCGGATGCCGCCTGGAGGCCATCGTGGGCGTTAAGGGGCGATATTTCGGCGAACCGTGGCCCACTGGGATCGTCTGGGGAGCGTTTCGGTGCCGTCTTGGCCAGTTTTGGAGCCCTCCGCTCCCCCGTGACGCGTTCGGTCCGGGGTCGGGCTCGGCCCAGGGGGGGGGGTCAAATTGCCGGTTTGGGGGGTCCCTGGGGGGGGATTATGGGGGGTTCGGAGGAGGAGGAGGAGGAGGAGGAGGAGGAGGAGGAGGAGGAGGAGGAGGAGGAGGAGGAGGAGAAGGAGGAGTGACGATTTGGTTTGGAAGCGGGTACTCCTGTCTCTGGTGGCCCTTCGGAAAGATGTCCGGCACTTCGGACAGCGTGTGCGTCACTCTGGATTTCGAGACCCTGTACAAGCGTCTGGACCGTGCAATTTGTCATGGCCGCCGGTACAAACCGGCTTGGTAGGGGGTCAGGATCTCAGGGGTGCTTCGCGGGGTCTCTTCGGGGCGCTCTGGAGGCGGGGGCAATGTCAGATGGTGGAGGAAAACTGCGTGGTCAGTGCGTTTTTCGTGGCTGACTTTCGAAGTGTTCGCCGTGCAGGCATGGGGAAATACATGGGAAAATCTGCGCTCACAGACGGCAGGCGTCGGTCCAAAAACCGGACGAGTGCTTCTCGAATGGCACGCGGCGCATCCCGCCACCTTGCTTGGGTTGCGGGTATGCGGCCGCACGGATGGTTGACTATTGGGGGACTTGCTGCGGGCTTCTCGGAAGCCTCTGAGGTTTCTTGGAGGTCCCTCAGGGCCTCTAGGGCTGTTCTTGGGGCAGGCTGGGGGCGTCTTGGGGCCGAAGGCTCGAAAAGGTGCCCTTCGGACTCCGTCTTGGAGCCGTCTGAGGGCCCTCTTGGGCTGTCTTGGGGGCTTCGTGGGCTGTCGTTGGACCCTCTTCGACCCTTCTTGGGGGCCCCTTTTGGCCGTCGGGGGGCGATGCTGAAGGTTTCTTGCCCGTTGTGGACGTTGTGAAAGCCGAATAAGCGAACACGCGAAACATGTTTTTTCGAAGGGAATGGGACGAATTCTGTTTCTTGGGGCCCTTTTGGGGCGCATCTTGGGGGCTTTTTGGGGCGTGGTGGCAGCTTCGGAAGCCGCCTGGAGGCCATCGTGGGCGTCCAGGGGCGACCTGTCGGCGAATCGTGGCCCCCTGGGACCGTCTGGGGAGCGTTTCGGTGCCTGTTTGGCCAGTTTTGGAGCCCTCCGCTCCCCCGTGACGCGTTCGGTCCGGGGTTTCGTTCGGCCAGGGGCCCTGGGGGGGAGTCGGATTGCCGGTTTGGGGTCCCTAGGGGGGGATTCTGGGGGGAACATCTCACACGCCGAGAGACCCACAAAGGGGTCGGCGGATGATGACGATGATGATGATGATGATGATGATGATGATGTTGTTGTTGATGATGATGATGCGTCGAATGCTGATGACGATGCTGATGATGCTGCTGGTGATGGTGATGGTGTTGGTCATGGTTGGTGTTGGTGACGATGAGGAGGAGAAGGGGCAGAGTAATGATGAGGAAGATGATGATGACGACGATGATGCTGACGAGGGGGATGATGATGATGCTGTTGTTTTGATGATGATGATGATGGTGATGATGATGATGATGATGATGATGCTGAGGATGGTGATGGTGATGATGGTGATGATGATGAGGAGGATGATTATGGTAGTGGCGATGATGACTTGCAGAGGGCAGAAGCACGGATGGGAGGAGGGAGGAGGGCAGCGGGAGGGAATGACGTGGTGCACCGTTCTTTCCAAACGAAGACCCGACACGCCAGGCTTGAAAAGAGGACGTCGTCGGAGGTGTGGGGCTGCTGTGTGGTCTCTGGCGGGCGGCGGGGGCGATAACGTCGGCGCGACGTCGCGGCGCCAGGCCGCGTTCGCGGCAGCACCTTGCACGCCCAGATAGCGGCAATCTTCGGAGGTCGGCCAGTCGGAGGAAAGAAAGGCGACACCACCATCACGGGTGCCACCTCCAGCGGGGAGGTCCACGATGCCTCCCCGAGTTGGGATAGAGGACGTCTCGAGCAAAGAGGGGGGACCACGCCACCAGGAGGAGCCGGCCTGGCTCGTCGCGCCGGTGGTGGTGGGGGCGGTGGTGTCGCTCTCCCTTGCCCCTGAGGAATGATCAGCAGTCTCGCGGGCGATTTCTCTCCCCCGGTCCCCGGTCTTCCCCCCAAACAGACTGGCCGGTCACAAGAGAGGGCAAGTTCGGAGATGCACACACTTCGGACGCACCCTTATCGATCATGGACGCCCCCCATCGTCTTCCCCCGAATTGGGCCTCCAGATTTCCTGTCCGGTTGAACACTTCCCAGGCTACAAAGTACGCAAACTCGGGGATTGGGGTCGCCATCGCCATACCGCGCGTTACAGTCCTCTGCAGGACTGCTTTTTGGGTCCCATTGTTTTTTCGTTATCATCAGCCTGGGGGGGGGGTCGGCCGCTTCATGGCCCCAGGGCCATCGAGCATGGCTCCCCGGGGGAAGGGGTCCAGACTCTGAGGGCCCGCGGATTGAACAAATCACATCGTCGGAGGTCTAGGTCCAGTGGGTGTGACAGATCCTCCCCTTCTCGGGTGTTGCCAGAGGTGGTCCTCGCCCGAGATGTCCCTGGCCTTTCGCGCCATATTGGAGCCACTG